GCCGCCTCCTCAAAGTAGAGTCAGCTCTAACATCTGGATAGAAGAAAACATTTGAGACCTTTGTTTACTGATGGGGCACAAATCAAAATGACACAAAACAGTTGTAAGCATCGATTAACAGTGGGAACGTGGAAAGTAAGGATTGTCTAGCTAGGGAAATTGGAGTTTGTCAGGAATGAAGTGGAACACATGAAGGTCGATGCCCTAGATCTCGACGTTAGAGCTGAGATGGACTAGTCTTGACCATTTTAAATCACAATCATGTGGTTCACTCTGCTGAGAATAACAAATTCAAGAGAAAAGGCATTACATTCATGGTCAGAAAGACCATTTCAAGATCTATTTTGAAGTCTAATGCAGGCTGATAATTTCCATACGCCACAATGAAGATAAGTGAGTACAGTATTATTCAAACCTACACACTGGCCACTATACTGATGAAGAAAGAAAAGAAACTGAAGAATTGAACCAACTCCTCCCTTCATTCTGAAATTGATCAAACATACACACAAGATACACTGATAATTAATGTTGACAGGAATGTGAAGTTTGGGGGCAGAAGAGCCATTAGCTGGAAAAGAATTGCCTTTATGATGGAAATAATTCTAGAGTTCATATGACAGAATTTTGCAAGACTAAAGACTGACTCATTGCAAATAATGTTTTTCAGCAACATTAACTAAATTGTAGTAGTGGACCTTACCAGATTGAATGCATGAGAATCAAATTGACCGCTTATATGGAAAGAGATTTTCAATATAATTTAAAACAAGGCCAGGGCTGACTGGACAGCAGACCATCAATTGCTCATATGCAAGTTCAGATTGATGCTGAAGAAAATTAAAACTAGTCCACCAGACCAGAGTTAAAATACAACCTTGAGTCTATCCCACTTGAATTTAGAGACTGTCTTAAGAACATATTTGATGCATTGAACAGTAAGGACCAAAGACTAGAAACGAGTTGTGGGATGGCGTCAAGAATGTTACATCTAAAGAAAGCAAAAGTCATTAAAATGACAGGAAAGATCAAAATGGGTGTCTGAAGAGACTCCCTGAAGTTAGAAAAGCACAAGGAAAGAACATAAACAGCATATCACAAGCTGAAAGAGCTGAAGGAGAAAAAAAAAAAATCAAGGCTTGAATCGCACTGTTGCAGGATTCTGTCAGCAAAATATTGAGTGAAAGAAAATATAAAAAAAAACCATGGAAGGAATACTTAACTAATATACCAATAACGAATTGGTCAACAAGCAACCATTTCAAGACTTGCATATGATCAAGAACTATTAAGTTCGAAGGGAGAGTTCGAAGCTGCTCTGAAGTTACAGTGGGGAATTACTTGAATTAAATTTAAGTATTTTAATAAAGCAGTTTAGTGCTGGAGGTCCTTACTTGTCGGCGTCAAGGAATTTGGGATAATGCTACCTGGTCAATAACAGTATGGAAGAGACCCGTATTTGTGCCCATCACAAAGAAAGAAGAGACAATGGCACCTAACCACAACAATCAGAAAACCTAGTTCATAGTGACTTTAAGAAGAAAGTTTTGCTTTTCTCTCGCTTCCGAGCTGACAAAGAAAAGGTGAAACAATGGCCGTGCCAAGAAAGGCCGCGGCCATGTGCAGCCCATTCGCTGCACGATCTGCACCCGCTGCGTGCCCACAGACAAGGCCATTAAGAAGTTCATCATGGAGGCCGCGGCCGTCTGACACTTCCGAAGCGAGTGTCCTCGATGCATACGTGCTTCCCAAGCTGTACGTGAAGTTGCATTGCTGCGTGAGTTGTGCCATTCACAGCAAGGTGGTCAGGAACCGGTGACGTGAAGCCCGGAAGGACCGAACCCCCCCACCTCGATTTAGACCTGCAGGTGCTGTCCCACGACCTCCTCCAAAGCCTATGTAAAGATTAGAAGCTGAAGGAAAACAAACCTGAAAGGAAATAAAATGAAAATTGTTCATGGGAAAAAAAAAAAAAAAAATTTGTTTTTTCTAGTGGCAAGAGTTTTGAGAAGTAATGGTGGTTGGTATTGGGAATAGTTGCTCAACAATTCCATCAAGTAGTCCTATATACAATTTTATATATAGGGCTGAAGGTAGGAAAGTATTCATGTCAATATTTGGGGCTTAAAAGTCAGCAAATATCTATCTTTGATACTTCTTCCCCAATCATACATAGAAGGTTTAGGCATATTCTGTAAAACCTGAGTGAACAGAAACCCAAACCCATCTGTAGACAATGAGACATCCCCTCACCACCCCACCACCCCACTATCATGACCCCAGTCTTGCCTTTCACTGTGGGTTAGACTGGAGCATGTGCACAGGTACAGATAAGAGATAAGAGTTCACGAAACACGGAATCCTGGAATAGCAATGGGAGTACCGATACCAGGAGGGTAGGGGGAAGGTGGGGACCAGTGGGGATGAAGGAGAAACTGATCACAATGATTGACCCAACTACACACACACCACCCTCCAGGGGGATAAACAACAGAAACCGTGGGGGAAGGGAGACAGCAGTCGGTGTAAGATATGAAAATAATAAATATAATTTATCAAGGGGCACGAGGTGGAGGAGGGGAAAAAGGGAGCTGATACCAAAATATTTAGAAAATAATGGTGGCAACATATGTACAAATATGCTTGATACACTTGATGTGTGGATTATTAGCTGTAAGAGCCCCCCATAAAATGATCTTTTAATGAAAAATGAAACCAAAAAAAATCCAGAGTGGTAGGTGGCAAAGGATGCTGCGTGGACTTGAATCTGCCACTGACTCTTAGTTAAAATAATAAATTTTAATATTTACCTATAGTAAATACTATAGGATACTGTATCCTATAGTATTTATGTGTTGTAAAATTAAATACTTTGGTGAAAGATTCGTAGGGAGACCTTTGTGGTATAGTAAATTATGTCCCTGTGTAATGGTTTTAGGCATGAATGTTATCTATTGAGACCTTGTCCACCTATAAGGCTGTGTTTTCTGATGTTCTTAAATGCAATCCAGTCTTTCCCAACTCATAGTGACTCCATGTGTACTTCAAATTAACTAGTGTTAACTTTTGAGGATTTAGGGCAGAGAAACTTAACCTGCTACTTTTAAATTAAATATAAGTTACTTTAACTTGAGCAAACCTTCACTAATCTACATGTTTGGGAGCCAGGGACTTGTGCCTGGAGCAGTTTGGTATAACACAGTAAATTATAATCCTATCCGTCATAAGTCTTCCAACAATCTAAACATTTCTTCTTCTGTAGGTTAAACGTTAATCTTTAACAAAATTATGCCTTTCTCAGGCATATTTTTCTTCTTCTAAGTAATTCCTAGTACTTACTTTGATTTTGGAAAATAACTATAATAACTTTCTGAACATAGTGGGACAATTTTATAGTATTGTAATGCGCTTGTAAGAGACTCGCAGGTTTTCTGGGGGAGAAATAACTCTCATTTCCCTCTTATTTTAGAAAACCCTCAAAATGCAGTACTTTTTATCTGGCTAAGAATTTTTTTGTTTCTCAAAACTCTTAGAACACTTAATTTCATTTGCAATGCTTTAGGTTGCCAGACACATGTGATGGGTGTGTTCACTTTAATCGTTTAAATGTCCCTTCCCTAGGAAATTTTGCATTACGCTGAGTCTAACTCCTTTCTCGGAAACCCACAGGGCAGTGGTACCCTCCCCTAAAGGGTAGCAGTGAGTCGGAAATGAGCTTGTGTTTTAACTTCATTCTCATTTATTTCCCCATTGATGAAATACAGATTTATCCTGCACTTCTTTTATATTTTTGCAAACCTGCTAAAATTGCTGTGGTTGGGATAAAGTTTACTGATCAGTGAGCCAGAGGCTGGTGTGAAAAACAGATTTGTGGGAGGCTCTCATTGGTACTGTAGTACTTCCACCCAACATGGCATTTTACCAGTTTTGGTCCGAATGATAGTGTCAATCCACATTTTCAGTGTTAGTGAAAATAAATCTGGTTGCAGTCCATAAAACTTAACCTATTTAGTGATCACTGAGAATTTGGTACTGTGTGATGATTAATTTGTTCAATTTAGAGCATTAATTCAACCTATAAATTGTGTGACCACTTGATCATGACATATCATTATGGTAGATTTTATAGGAAAGGCAAAGAAGTATAACCCACAGTTGTTATTTAAAGATGTGTTAATTAGTTGTTTTAATTTCAGCAGCCCCCAAATCCAAAAAGGCAGAAGATGCCAGCAAAGCCGCTTCCGTCACAAATAGTATGGATGTGTTGAAAAAAATTGAGGTAAGGTTTTATTCTTATTTTGCATGTGAACTGGAAAAATATCAAATATTTATCTTTCTCATGTTCATGCTTCAGCCTTTAACATCCTCTAGCTTTTTAAAGACTGTGCATTTGGTGGATGCGAGTCCAGCTCACAGAACACAGGGTCACTGGAAAGGTGTAGCATAGTTGGCAGGAGGGTTTGCAGGTTCAGTCCTGTCCTCCTATTTTGCTATTATTGTTAGGTGCTATCGAGTGGGTTCTGAGCCAGTGACCCCTTGCATAACACAGTGCAACACTGCCTAGTCCAGTGCCGTCCACTTAAAAAATACCCCAGCAAACCAGACCTGTTACTGTCCCGTCGACAACTTATGGTGAGCTGATAGGACCAACAGGAGTTAGTGGCATAGTGGTTATGAATTGGACTGCTAATCACAAGGTCCACAATTCAAAACCACCATTCACTCCGAGGGAGAAAGATGGGTTTTCTACTCCATTAAAGAGCTACAGTCTCAGAAACTCACAGGGCCGGTTCACCCTGTCCGAAAGGGTCATGATGAGTTGGCATCAACTCAATGCCGGTGAGTTTGGTGTTGATAGAACAGAAGAAAACTGTCCCAAAGGGCTTCCAGAGCCGTAGTCTTTACAGAAGCAGGTTGCCACAGCATTCTCCTGTGAGGGGGCTGGTGAATTTAGACCACTCACGTTTTGATTGGCAGTCTAGTGCTTAACCACTATGCCACCAAAACGTGTTTCTCATCTACATACTTCATTTGCTTCCTTTTCCATATGCCTCCATATCTACTTGATTTGAATTATGTAAGAGAAAAAAACAGGAAGGAATTTTGTGCCAAATTGTATTTCTTACATAGACTCATTGTTTGCCCACTCTTGTTGGTATATGTGTGGTTTTCAGTGCCTTTTCTCTCAGCCTTTTGCTAGATGTAGAAGATTGTATTAGAAGAAACCATTCCTTATTATAAGTTCATGTCATTTTTGTAATGTTTATAAAAAAGGTATAGAATTCTGGTTAGTACCCGCAGTTGCCCTACCATTCCTGCCCCAGACAGTTTTCTTTCTTCTTCTTATAAATCAATCTTCACGATCGCATATTTTATGCATAGCAAATAGAATTTTTTTTTTCAATATATCACTTAAAGTATCTTGGGAGCTGGTTCTATAACACTACATGTAACACTACTTCATTCTTTGTTTGGGGCTATATTCCAGACATGAATCATAATTTATTTAATCAATATCCTTTTGGCTGGCATTAGATTTCACCCACTATTTTGCTCTTGTAAACACTTTTGTAATGAACACGTGTTAACTGTGTTATTGGACATGTGCATGTATGGTAAATCAGTCGAGCCAGTGTTGAGGCACTGCATTATGGATACATAGTATCATATTGTTACTCATGGAATTTATACCAATGTACTCCAACATATCAGTGCTATAATATGCACACCAATGCATGTATTATCTTTCATTGATGCTGCTAATGGTGACAGGTAGTATTTGACAGTAATATTTCGCAGTATGTACCAGGTTCTGTGATGAGCCCATTTTGTTCTTTAGACTAACACAGAGAAAGGTGGTTATTATTCTTTACTCAGAGAAGAGGAAACACTCCCAAAGCGTTGGGACCATTGCTTTCGGGACCAAGGTGGCATAGCTATTTGGTGGCAGAAACTCTTTATTTTTCATTAGTACTTGAGCTGGAGATAACATGACTGAAATATAGCCAGGATGATTAATAAAGAAACAGTAATAACTGTCAGTTTTACCTTAGGTGGAATGATAGATGGGCTTGCAGGACTAGCCAACTTGTATTGATTGAACACAGGCTCTGGCTGTTCTTAGAGCTGCTTCCTGGTAAGAAGATGCTGACTTACACTGTAAGGAAGATTGATCTGGACCTCTAGATGTAATTTCCCCACAGAACAAATTGTGTCTACTCATTCCCTGCATTTAATCACCTCTCTGAGGACACACTTTTTTTAAAAATTATTATTATTAACTGGAATTTTTAAATTGAAAAATTCCAGTAAGTTGCCGTTTTAATGGAGCAAAAGTAGCTTCTGGATGATGCCCATATTGCTCATTTCTTCAGCAAAAGGCATTGCAAGTCTTACTTTAATAAATTTCTACAGGTGGAGAGGGAATAGCAGAGAGTCAAGTATCATGACTATGGAACGTGTGGATAATAAGACAGCAGAACACTCTCGGATCTGTGTTACATAGAGGAAGCTACATAGTGGTAGCTGTACCAGGGAAGGTTTTAGAAGACCTCTTCCCTGCCCAGAACTGAACTGTGCACTTTGGATTCTTTGTTTCTTCCTTACAACAAGTCGTGAAGCCGTGGGAGAGATTTCACAGAAGAGGCAAATGGAGGCTACTAAGGAGAAAAGCAGAAACTCCTATAAAAGGATAAAGTCATGTGTTAATGAATGTGGCTCAGAGATGACTTTTTTAAGAGTTGCATGAATTTGCTCTGGGTTAACAAAGTTAAGAATTTTATAGGTTTGAGTTAAGTCTATGTGGTAGGAATAAAGATGAGGATTATTTATTTAAAGGTATATGAAGTGGTAATAACAGAAGTGAAGACTAAGTACGCCCTGTGGATGAATTCAGCAGTATATATTGAAAATCATGAAATAGTGTTAAATTGATAGAGTTTATACTATACACATAGTTAAATAAATACAGCATTACAATTCCCCTTTAACTCCACAAATGTATGGGCTACAGGCCTTTTGTTTTTACTGTTATCTGATGAAAATAGTAATAAAAGACCATGTATTAATATTTTTAATGTAGCATCATAATATATTTGTGTGTGTGTGTATAGATATATTCCAGTTGATACTGACTCTTGGGGTCCGCATGTGCGACAGAATAGAATTGAGCTTGATGGGGCTTACTCGGCTGCAGTCTTTATAGAAGCAGATCATCAGGAATTCTGCTTCTGGGTGGGTTCCGGTGACAGGCTTGCCTTAAAGTTGACAACTGATTGCCACCCAGGGACTTCATTCATTGTTATAGATACTTTAAAAGATCTATAATCACTGTTTGGTCTACTTGCAGTGTTTCAAAGGAATTGTCAGTAGAAAAATTACACTCTATTGTAATAATTCATATAAGGTAATTTATGGGTCAATATCAGGTTAAACCATCTGATGTCTGTTACCTTGGTCTTCTTTATGAGGTGATCACAAGGTGGAGTTTGGATTTTGATTGGAAAGTAAGAGTCTGTTGTCTTTCTATTGCCTTTTATTTTTGTAAATTCAAATTTGAGTAAAAAGGATTGTAAAATATATATTTTTCATAATTCTAACAGTTCTTAGAGTAGGGCTAGAGCTAGTGTGAG